GACGTCTGAGGCTCGCNGGGGGGGGGGGGGGGGGGGGGTTTCGAGATCAAACCTGGGACTTGTCTTGTCTTTGGGCCAGATCATCCCGCCTCTTTGCCAACTGAACTACACGTGGAGGCCATATAATTTTGCATTGACTTAACAAATTCTTATTTATTTTAATTCCTTTATAATAAATCTATTTTCTTGTATTTTAGATTTGCATTGATTATTCAATGTATAAATACTCATTTTCTCCCCTATAATTTAGCTTATTTTACTTTTATGTCCCAAAAAAAACTTTGAGTCATTTGTTATCTTATTTTCTACTTATTGTGTCATGAAACTAAATGTTGTGATTTTACCTGTTTTATTCCAATTGAAGGCTAATATCACCCTATGGACACGATGTTTATACTGCCAGCATTTCCACAACATTGAATTTGCTAGTTTGTGTGGCTTTTCGGAAAGCTTATTACATTCAGCCATGGAACATGCGTGGAATCAGACTTTTTGTAACTTGAAGATCAAGATTTGTTGCTCTGTTGAAGACAAATTAGCTATTGTACTTTTGGTCTTAGGAAATCAAAATGTTAAGCTTTTTGTACTTTTGTTGACTTTAACCAAACTTTGTCCCTAAGGGGCCGTTTACCAAACGTTTACTCGGGTAAGTAAACACCAAGTCATTTTACCTTACCGGATGAATATGGTAAGGATCAGAATCTTACCCGATAAGAATGAAACAAGAACCAAGAGTCTTACCCGGTAAGTGAAAGCAATGACTCTTACCACGTTAAGCGCTTACCGGGTAAATTGTTACATACGATACCGTTTTGGTGGACTAAAATTTTATCCGGTAAGTAAATGATAGTGTTAAATTTACCGGTAAGCGCTTATCGGATAAGTGTTTGGTAAACGGCCCTAAGTTTTCTTTATTTGACATTTTGGCCCCTTCTAGTGGTAGTATGAATATAAGGTGTTGGGTTGTAATCTTTGGAGTAGATCCAATCAGCTTTAAACTGATTGTGATTTATGTTTTCAAGTATTTTAGCTTATGTATAATTCTTGTAATTTCTAAAACTTTGAACCTTACTTTCCGGTTCTACAGCATTTCAATAACATCGTTACTTTTTTCACTTTATTACGCTTACCATCTTTACATTTTGTTCTTTAATTCAATTCATTCACTTTTAGTCATTTAATTTTATGCATTTACTTTCTGTTATTTACAATTCCTTGCATTTACTTTTCATAATGAGTAGTTAATTATCTTAAGCTTGGTGTGAGACAAATGGTGAGATTTTAAACCGAAGGAAAGGGGACATAACGATGTTCCACTATTTCATTTCAAGTTTTATAGAATTAATGACACTTCTTGACAAGTTGATCACTTTGAAAAGTGTTAAAGTGTCTTGGTCCTAGGAATAAACCACTCGAATTCACGTCAATTTGAATGATATGAGAAGTAGACCTGGAAGAGTTGCTAACAACATAATTTGTTATCTGTGTTTTTCAAATTGATTAATTCTCAACAAGTTGTTCATTTATGTCTCACCATAAGTCTTATACCATGCTAATTTCTTTTTTCTGTTATTTCAGTAGTGATAACTCAATCCAACAAAGATTTCTTCAAATTCGTCATTTAAAATCATTTATTTTATTAGACTTTCATTAAGTTTTTACTCCAATCTTTGTGAACGATATTTGGTATTTAACCACTTTATTAGTTGAAAAACGATATTGGACTATATTATATCATTATATACTTAATTTTGGTTCCAATTATCACATAATTCAACTTTATATATTCATATTTAAAAGTAAGAGAATCAAGCAAAATCTATTAAAGATGTTTTTGAAAAATATATAAATGAAAATATTTGTAAGTTATTAATTTGATTTGATTATACAGCTCATTAAGCCACAAACGAACAACCCCTTAACAATACCCATTAAGGAATGAGATTATTTTGAGAATAAATAAGATTATTTTAAGAACGATATCTTTTTTATTTGGAGCATAGGGGTGTTTATGAGTTGGATTGATCATATTGAAGGCATTTGAACAATTCAACCTAATGTTGACGTTTTGAAATTTTTTAACTCAACCCAACCCATCCAACTCACTCGGGTTGGTTGGGTTCTGTTTAAACAAAGTAAAATCAACATTAAGAACATAAAAATAAAGAAAACCTTCCTTTGAGATACAATCAATTATTCAAGAAAATATATGAATTCATTATTACATATAACTTTTCAATAATATCCTCTTATGAGTTTCATTGCTCGTCGTTGCCGAGTTGTTTTTTTTGGTAACATATACATATTAAAGAGAAATACAAATAATCTTAGAGAGGCCACTAAGACTTTCATCGGGTTATCAGGTTGGTCGGGTTACTTTGAGCTTAACCCAATTTCACCCCAATAAATTCGATTTACCCTAATTTTGTACCGTTATACCGTGGGTTACCTCAGATTGAATTTTCTCCAGGGGTTTTCAGGTTGAGTTAGACGGGTTGGTTAAACTTTTTAATGGGAAGGTTTTCATTTGCCAACACGTTGAGGGGTAGCAAGAGAGAGGGATGGTGGGTCGTCGATGTTGGAATAGGGAGTCGATGGATTGAGGGAGCTGGGTTTGTACAGTACAACCGCACCATAATATCATTACATTTTTAAAATTCAAAATTTAAATCGAAATTAAGTTTTTAAGATTCCTAAAAAGAATGCCTTTGTATAGTAACCAAGTTATTGAGTATGTTTAATGTCACAACGCTAAAATGTGAACCGTAAATAAAAAGATTTAGGGAGAACCTTGATAGAAAAAAGAACTGGAAAAAATATAGCAGTGAATGTCAAACTAATGATGATTAAATGATTATTTATTTTCTGTAATTTGTTTCCCTCCAATTTTTTTGTTGTTTTTGTTGATTTCTATTAAAAAAATTTAAGGGGGAAATATTTGTATTTTTTGGAAAAGGTGGTTATAACCACGTTTTTGATCTCATATGTTGGATCAACTCAATCTAACGGTTTGAATGAGTTCGTCGATTATATATTATTTCAGGATTCCCTCTTGATCTCATCCCAAGTATGCATATATGAAGTGTTTGTATATACAAATGTATGTATATCAATATAAGTATATATTTATTTATTTATGTAAAGTATATATGTATAGCGTGTGGTATATATACATGTATATGTATATAGAGGTGGTTTGTTATATGCAATCCAACACATTGTTATAATTATTACAACTCAATTTCAACCGTCCATTTAATTTAGTGAATATGTGGTTTCATAAATATCTTTACTGTTTCCTAATATAAATCGTCAATCATAATTAATGAACTCTAATCATTTTCAATAAATATTCAAATTATAATAAATTAAACATGATTATTTTCATAAACATCTCGATTGATTTGATTATATTTAGGGGTAAGCACAGGTCGGTTCGAGGCATAAAAGGACAAACCCGATCGGGTTTTTGGTGAGAAAAATACACCCTATATCATGGATGTTGGGTTGGGGGGGAGGTCGGATTCGGGGCAGATCTGGTCGGGGCTCGAGTAAACAATTTAAGGTGTATATACAAAGAGATTCATGATCAAATGCAACATACATAATAAACACCGGAAAAGCATTAACGTAATCTAAGTTGATTTATTCCAAAAAAAAGACGGGACTTTTCATTTGGGATACTAAACACAAGTCTAATGTGTGCCAAAAAGACATCTACGATCAAGTGATTCAGAAGAAAAAAAAACAAGGTGACAGAACACACGTCTCACAGTCTGATCTACCAGGCAAGCAAACAGATGACCCGTCTAAATTCATGAACAATGGAAACTTCCAAAACTCATGAACACAAAGAACACCAATGAAACTTCAAAGTGGCAACTGACAAGATCCAAAACCCCATCACAAAAGCAATGAACTTCCGTGTTCTTCTTCTAAACATTGTTTAGTTATTCACTTCTTCTCTGTGTGCCTGTTTTCAATCAAACAACCAAAATTTATGATAACTGGTAAGTTAACACTAAGAATTCAAGAACTTAATGAGTATGAAATCATAACTAACAAAGTAACAAACTAAGAATATAACATTCTACATCATCTAGATCAAGTGTTGGAAGAGAATCCTCATGGTCAGTAACAGAACTTGAACTTCCAATTCTCATATTACGATACGCGATAAATCAAAATGGAATATCATCTTGATTAGTTCAAATTATGAAAGAAAACTTGGTAATAGTTCTTACCAGTTTAGCATCTCCTCCTCCGTTGCAGACTTGCAGTATAGGATTGATTCGATTTGATGGGCTTCGCTAGTCTGCCATTCCTGTTCTGGGCTTTTGGTCATCGTCGACGAGAACTGATTTGATTTGATGGTGGTCAAGAACTCAAGATGATTCGATTTGATGGGCGATGGCAGTAGAGGATTGATTCGATTCAATGGTGGTCAAGAACTCAAGATGATTGGACTCGATGGGCGATGACGGTCAAGAGAGTATAGACGGAGAGATCACTGGTTTAAGATTAAGATTTAAGAAGCGTCTTTTTGGTTTCTTCGGGCTTCGGACGGGTTCGTGGGATGGATCAGGAGATCATACCTGATCCGTCTAACATGATATAAAAATTGGATGTCAGACCTCAGATTGGTTCGAGACATATGGATCGAGTATGTTCGGCTTTTTTCGGTCGGCTTTTTTTTTTATAGTTCGGGTATGGTCGGGTTTTGCACAACCCTAGCTATATTATATAATTTGTAACAATGGTACGAGTCATATTTAAAACCTCTCTAAGTATGTATGTAAGTATGTATGTATGTATGTATGGTAACCGACATGAAGAGATCTGAGATTAATGTACCCACGTTGGATTGTCATGCATCCAATTAAGGAAAAAAGCGCGTGATCACCACTCCTCCCCTTTCATACTTCTTATAAATAATCACTTCAAATTTCTTCTCAAAAACCCTCTTACACACACACACACACACACACACACACACACACACACTCTTCGCTAGTCAAAATTACGATGGCATCCGGCACCGACAACTGCCAATCCGCCACCACCGCCAACGGTGGAGAAGCCCCCAAACGCAAGGTAGCTCTGATCACCGGAATTACTGGTCAAGACGGCTCTTACCTCACTGAACTCCTCCTCGAAAAAGGTTATGAAGTCCACGGCCTGATCCGCCGGTCTTCAAACTTCAACACTCAACGGATCAACCACATCTATATCGACCCGCACAACACTCACAAGGCCCGTATGAAGCTCCACTACGCCGATCTGACCGACGCCTCCTCCCTCCGCCGTTGGATCGACACCATTTCCCCAGATGAGATCTACAACCTCGCTGCTCAATCACACGTCGCCGTTTCGTTCGAGATCCCTGATTACACCGCTGATGTCGTTGCGACGGGATCGCTACGGCTTCTAGAAGCCCTAAGGTCCCATATCACCACCACGGGTCGGACTCATGTCAAGTATTATCAGGCCGGATCATCTGAGATGTTCGGATCCACTCCCCCACCGCAAGCAGAGGATACTCCTTTTCACCCGAGATCGCCTTATGCTGCCTCCAAATGCGCCGCTCACTGGTAACAATAAATTCAATTTGCTCATCTATAATCAGTGTTCCTTTGATATAATTTGAAACTGTTCAAATGATTTGTTTCAATTCGTGCTCCTAGAAATTGAGCTAGAACAACCTAATTTCTCCATATTCTAGTCCACATTGTATACTCACTTCACTTGTCACTTTATCGATCACAGCAACACTTGGGGTTTTCTAGGTCAAACATGTTAAATGTAGATTGGTAGTATTGATTAGATGTTCGATGCAGCATCGTTGCTTCATACTTGGAAGAATTCGAGTTTCTTTTGGAGTTGAATGTTATCAATTTGACCTTAGAACTCAAAATTCTTGTATGTGTTCAAGATCTTAGTGCTTATCAAACATTGTTTACTTAATGTCATATAGGTATACAGTCAATTACAGGGAAGCCTACGGGATCTTTGCCTGCAATGGCATTCTCTTCAACCACGAATCACCTCGCAGAGGTGAAAACTTTGTGACCAGGAAGATCACAAGGGCGGTGGGCCGGATCAAGATCGGCCTCCAGAGCAAGCTGTTTTTAGGGAATTTGCAGGCTTCAAGAGACTGGGGGTTCGCAGGGGACTACGTGGAGGCAATGTGGCTGATGCTACAGCAAGAGAAGCCCGATGATTATGTGGTCGCAACCGAGGAGTCGCACACGGTAGAGGAGTTCCTTGAAAAGGCATTCGGGTATGTGGGCTTGAACTGGAAAGATCATGTAGAAATCGATAAGAGGTATTTTAGGCCAGCGGAAGTGGATAATTTGAAAGGTGATTCAAGCAAAGCAAGAAAAGTTCTTGGGTGGAAACCAAAAGTAGGGTTTGAGCAGTTGGTGAAGATGATGGTTGATGAAGATATTGAGTTGGCCAAAAGGGAAAAAGTTCTTGTTGATGCAGGATACATGGATGCTCAACAACAGCCCTGATTCTGATTCTGATTCTGTTCCTGAATCTTGATCAGGTATCAAATCTTCTAGCTATACCTATATTCAATTTCTTGGTGTTTTCTTGAGAATTTTTGTTATAGTTATTCAATTGTAATTCTTTCTTATCCACCTTAGATGTTGGTTGGTTGTGGGGGTTGTGGGCATGATCTTTATTTGTTGTTGAAAAAACCCTTAGATTTGATGAGGTTTATAGAGAGGGAAGTTTCTTGTTGTGGGCATAACCTAATAGTGTTTTACTTTGCAATGTCTTATACAATGTACTTTTTAAAATAAATAGAGTTTTTGGCTAAAATTTCTACCAAATGTTGGGAAACTGATGTTGGTTCACAAATGCTCTTATGAAGGTAGTATTTTTTGTTGAATGTCAATTGTTCATGTGGTTGATTTAAGAACCCATCTATTTGTCATTCCAATTTTGAAATTACATCAAATCCCCCATTGTTTCAATTTGTTTGCAATCACTCTTTCCCTCCCTGTAACAGACGTTGGGGTCCATCGGTTAAATTGAGTGTATATTGGTCATCTTGATTTGCTTCTTCTTCCTCCTCGAGAACACTCGACCCCTCATATAACAAACATCTTCAAACTCGTATGATTAGATTGCATAAATTGAAATAACCCCTAAATTAATGGTCGGATAGATGCATAAATCGAACAAATTGGTATAAGATATAATCCCACTACAAATCTGTAGCCACACTCTTTTAACACTAAACCCAATTTGAAAGGTTTGTGAAGAGAAGTACGAAGAACATGAAGGGCATGAATCATAAGGGACATTGGCGTTGGGAAGGAATGAGAAGAACATAAATTTAACATTATCGCTTATTTAACGAATAAGATTTTATTTACTAAAATGCATCGTATGCAACAATTTATCCCGGTAAGCGCTAACCATGGTAAGAGTCCTCGTCCTCACTTACCGGGTAAGACTCTCGATTTTTGCCTTCGCTCTTACCGGGTAAGATTTTTAGTCCTTGTTATATTCATCCGGTAAAGTAAAGTGACTTGGTAAACGCTTACCCGGATAAGCGTTTAGTAAACGGCACCTAAATTGATCTTGTAATGCGTTTTACATAATTAACTTGAAAATGTCGAGAATATCAAGAACAATCAAAAACCGATCTAATAGCGGTGTTGGTAATGTTGTTGGGCATCTGATCCAAGATTTCTTGGAAATATTAGTAAGAGGAAGGTCAAAAAATGGGAATGAAATTTATGTATTACCATGAATTTATCTTAGTTTTTATTTAGTATAACGATAAGAAATTTTTTCATTTAGAATGTGTTTGGTTCAGGCAAAGAAATGAAAATATAAATGATAAGGAATGAAAATGAGAATTAATTTTCATTTCCCCACTTTAATCTGAAATGAAAAGGTGGGCTTCTAGATGAATGGACCTATTATATCATATAAAATCAAACAATTTTTTTTCTTTTCATTCTCATTAATTACTGCATAATACCTAAAACCAAACACTCCCTTTATGTAACAATTGTTTTAACTCTTTTTATTTCATACTCGTTTTGATCAGTAACCAAGAGATCTCGTAAAATTTGAAAATGTGGATGTCAAGTTATATTGTAATTATTAATCATGTGGACAAATGTATATTAAAATCAACTGATGTCACATAGGTCGAAGGATCGTCTGAGAAGGTAAGTTATGACGAGAAGCGTAAAAAGATATTTGAACTCTTGATCACTTTTAATCTTATGTCCACCATGAATTGTGTTTTAAAGGGGAATTGATCTGATGCATCTTGATGCACTTCATTAGTGTTGACATTCAATTAAGATTCATTAAATGGTGAAGATCTATTCTTACACTTCTTACCATAACTTTCCTTCTTACATGTACCTAACCCTATCACATAGCCTTAAAATCCTTTTATCGGGTAAAAAGGTACAAAATATATAGAGTTAAATGTTTACTAATTAAGAAAAACAAAATTTATAGTTAACATTAAATAAAAGCCAAGATAAACTCCCTTTTATTTTCATATGTTGCCATTCACGATATCAACACTTTTGATCTTAATGCACAAGTTCATGCAAAATGTTTTACATATAAACCGACAAATTTTCCACCTTTTTTAGGATGTATGTAGCCTGAGACGAAGGATCGCCTGAGAGTAAAAGTTAAGATAAGAAGCGTAAGAATAGATCTAGACCCTTGATCACTTTCAATCTTACCCCCACCCTGTGAATTGCGCTTGATACAGGAATTGATCACGTGCATTTCATTAATGTTAATCTTCAATAGGAAACTCCCCCTCAACGTTATACCCTTGAGGAATATCCATGTAAACCTATTCTTTCAGATCATCATTAAGGAACACATTATTCACGTCCAATTGAATAAGATCGCATCCATTAATCAACGTGAGAGCTAAAACGGTCTTGACAGTAACCATTTAAGCTACCGGGGAAAAAGTATCAACGAAATCCACTCCTTCTTGTTGATGAAACCCCTTGGCAACGAGCCGAGATTGGTATCGTTCTATAACACCCGAAGGCCCATACTTTAACTTGTATACCCATCGACACCCAACAGAACACTTCCCTTCGGGTAAAGGAACTACAGACCATGTCTAGTTTAATTATGTGGCTTTAAGCTCGTATTTCATTGCTGAAACCTATTCTGATATTCCAGCAACTTACTTATATGAGGATGGTTCCATGTAGGTTTCTTTTGATAATAAATGGAAATATTACTTTCAATTTGGCTAACAACACATCACTTTCAACACCCAACATCTGGAGGTCGCTTCACTTTCACTTAGGCCCGAGCCAAGTCAGTGGTATTTTTCGGCCCTGTCAAATAAAGTAGAGGGAGAGACCAACGGGTCCTCAAACCACCTTGTCCTTCCTTTCTATTGCTCGATATTCAATTCTTGAGCATTATTTGTACGAAACGCCTCAATTTTCACGTCAAATTGTGTTAACACCATATTGTAAAACCATGGTACTACTTGAGTGGCATCAGACTTGTTTTTGACTAAAAACACCCATGTATCTCTGTTGTGATCATCAAATAGCGAGAAATTTTTGTGTCCATTTCTATCCGGTAATTAAGATACTCATTTCGAGATTCATTAGACTAATAACAACATTATTAACTCTGGTTCTTGGTTTGCATTCGATAGGATACCCGCGCAGTTCGTAACACCTCTCTTTAGTATGTCCCTGCAACTGACAATGGGTACAAAAAGCCCTTTCTCGAGAATTGAAACGATTACCTGAGTTCGGCACTGAACTATTAGTATTTTTCCGCTTAGTTCCAGAAAAACCACTCTTAGCATCATAGACTGGTTGTTAATAACTGATTGCTGCAACTGTCCGATATTTCTTCGACGTTCTTCTTGAGCAACTAGAGAAAACACCTTATCAATTAAGGCAAAGGTTCCACGAGTAAAATCTAACTGTGAATCTGACAATGAGACTCATTAAGTCCTATATGAAAGCTTAAAACATGTTCTTCTTCCTAGTGTTCTTTGATTTCATCGTTTCTTCCACATTTACACTTTTCACATTTGCAATGCGGCCTGAAATATGCTAGTTCTTCCCAGAGAGCCTGTAATTTGGTGAAATAGATGTTGACAAGTTCTTGATTCTGTGATAGGTTTACAAGATCTCTCTGAATTTGTATAATTCTCAGTCCATTACTCTCTTTAAATCAATTCTTGAGAGTTGTCCAGATCTTGTGAGCTGTATTAGGATACATGATACTACTTGCAATCTGCTTGGAAACTGAGTTCATAAGCCATGAGATCACAATGTTATTACCTCGAATCCAGGAAATCAACATTACTGGGTCTGAATCGCTTGGTTTGGCTATGGATCCATTAATAAAACCTGTTTTGTTCTTGACTGAAAGAGCAATCATCATAGCTCTATACCAGGTCGAGTAATTATCTCCAACAAGAGGTTGAGAAACGAGAATCATTCCTGGACTATCGGAATGATGCAAAAATAAGGATGTAGTCTGTCTTCGGTTGTTGCTATCGAAGGATTAGGATTCTTGGAGGTTGAGTCTTGATTCACCGTTTGTGATTGAGACATCTCAGATCTGAGAAACGAGAGGAACAAAGAAACACAGAGAGAGAAAGAGAGAGAGAGTGAAAGCTCTAATACCATATGACAAAACTGAGAAATGGAAAGATAATCAATCAATCTCATTCGAAAAGACCCTTATTTATAGTACAAAACAACAAAATATAAAATACCAAACTACCCTTTATATATAATACAAAGAGAAGAGGATAGATTATTCAAATTTCATTCGATGGTTAGAGGTGAATCGGAAGCTAACTTGAGAACAAGCTACATTCCATCAAGGTAGTGGTGGATTCTTTGACACCGAGGACAAGCTAGTAAATGGCTTGACCGATGAATGAAGCGATTCTGGGCCCTCCACTGCAATTCTCTTGCATATACTATCACAATTATTGACCACTTCAGTCAGCCTCCCCTTTAGCTCCCCGACTTCCACCTGCAACTGATCAACTGTATGCATTTTTCTTAAGTTGGTATGCAATTTAGGAAAATATTGGACAAATGAAAAGCAACCTTAGATAAATGTGAAGATACTTATTCCCATCGATCCGAGAGAGGGATAGATCTTCACAAATATGATTTCTTTTTTATGTCGAGGTGTCTACTATGGCGTCCGGATCACTTGAAAGTATGCTTGTGCTAAGATGAAAACTTCTTTGAAATCCTAGTTTGAGAATTTTAAAATTTGATATAACTGCAATTTAACTGAAAGACCAACGATTACCAATCTTTCGCAATGCAGTAATGGAAATGATGCTAAAAGGGTGGTTTCGATTTGGAAATATTGTCATTTAGTTTTCCATATTGGAAAGACTGCTACTATTTTAACTTATCATATTTGGTGTTCCTTTTCTAAGCAACCAGTATATACAGCATGGCCAAAAAGACTTGCATAGGTAAAGAACGACAAAGAAAACACTCATGGTGGTATAATATAGTGAAACGAGCATTCTAATTAGCATACGAAAGTGTTTTATTTTTGGAGACCTAAGAATCTACGTCCATGGAAGGCGAAAATTTTGCTTCATGCCTCTTCTGGCAATTTACTAGGCAATAAGAGTGGGATTCAAATTTGTAACCTCAGTTATCTTGAGCACTTCCAACCACTTGAGCAGTATGCAAGTATGTTGTTTGCCAAAAATCAAAATTGTGCAAAGTTTTTATTTGTGAAGTAAGGTAACAAGTCAAAAGGAAAACAGAGTTTGTACCTCCAGATAGGTGCCTTGAAGTTGTCTTCACTGCCGAGGCAGAGGATTTATATTTTTTAAGAAGTTTTATAGCCAAAGCATCTATAGCTTTTATTTTGTCTTCTAGCGCTTCCTGCAAGAATAATTGAAAGCTACCCCATTATGAAATAGAACAAAATGTTACTTGTGAGACTAGGAAAAATTGCATTTTTGAAGTTCTAGACTAATCGTTTTTTCATAATTTAACAAACCCAGTAAAACGATCTAAAATTCTCAACCATGAGTTTATCATATATAAAAAAAACCTGTCTTTTGTTAATGTTGTGAGCCTGCTGTTCTTGCCACTCTTGGTATGTTGAGAACAAATCCAGTATCACTTTGGGATCCACGATACCTATTGCATGAACAAGAAAGAAAGATCAAGATAAAAAACTTTTCAACCAATGAACCTTCATGTCTTCATTTATGTTAATATCTCAATTGAGCATAAATTTCAGAAGATAAACAATTAACTAGTCACTATCAGATAGTAAAAGAAGGGGACTTATTGAGTTCACTCATTCAGAAAAGGTAAGGTGGAACTTCTATGCTTGAATACAACAATGCTGATGATAAGAACTACAATAAAACCAGCTAAAAAACTTGGTTAATAATACACTTATCTTATGTATCTAGGCTGGTACCCAAAAATCCTTGGCTCAGAACTAACCAAACCTTCGGTATGTGGTTTGTTCATCAAAAGCAATTATCTACCAAAAATCCTTCACCAACACTCTTATAGCCTATGAATCATAATCAAGTTCGATCATTGATTTAATCATCGTCGTCCAAATATTAATTTCAGCATCTGCCTGCCAGCTAAGCTTGCTTAAATGGCTAAGACTTTCTCTAGTTCAAATCTCAGACTTGTTTATTGCTAGACATATGATGCTTCAATGGACAGGCACCCAAAGTTCCAAGCCAGGTACGATTTTCTTGGCCTTCTAAAAAAACATGTCTGCTAAGGACCTACGGTAAATTTTCTGGTTTACAGCGTAAGCAGTTGGTAACTTCCACCACCCACTGGTTTGAGCATGAGGAGCTACAATAACTTTTAGAAAAACCAGTATGAATGAACTTATTTATAGTTCACATACTAGGAAAGAATGGCAAATCACCCAGTGGTTACCAAATAATTTGAAACAATCATCCCCCATTCTTTCTGCAATACATGGATTATTAACAACAATGTCTTTGCCAAATTCCATCAATTGAAGAACATGGTAGTTAAAGCAACATGTGAATCAGGCTATCAACTCCATTAGCTACATGATCAGATAAACACCATAGTATTTAACACGATTATGTGCATGATTCATGAATCCCGTACTACATCAGATAAGGATCCTTGTCTCCAATCTCTAATTATCAAGTGTATTTATAGAACATACAAAAACGACTAAAGAACAAAATGCACCTGTATCAGATGAAGATGGGGGTTTCTTGACCAAAACATTTGTCAAGTCACTCTTGGTTAGTTTAGGCATCAATATTGGAGTCGTCTGTTTCCGCATTCACGCATTTGAATAAGAGGAACGTCAACTAATCAGATTTAAACAAATAAACACACAATTTGGTGCTTAAACTCATAACGAAATCTATATATTTTTGTCGAGCTCAAAAACATTTGATCTTATACAAGCATGGAAGCCCAAATCAACATTTGATTTGTTAATCAGAGAAAAACTCACAGTTCTAAGGGATTTAAGCTTCTCTAGCACTGGATCCATGGTTTCAAATCGCTCGGAGACAATGGTGATTCCATCTTCCCCTTTCTTTACATAAAACAAAATTTATAGAAACAAAAATTATCAAATTGTTGGTAAAACAAATCAAGGTGGAGTGAATTAGGTTACCTGTGAACTTGAGAGAGAAGATTCTGATGATCCCATGGCCAAATTCTTTTGCGTAGGTGAAGAAATATGATGAATAGCTTATATCATATTACCACATTTTGGATAAATTTAGATAGTACAACCCAAAATGGTCCCCGAGTTCAACAGATCAAGGCAAAACTTGTAGAAAAAACGGGGACTTCTAATTGTGATTTATCTTCTAAAATTGAAACCATTGTAGGAAGAACTCGTAAACTATGGCACCAGATCTCGGTGTGTGATTTGGAGGTTGCAAGTGCAATCTGTTTAAGAAGAAACATGCATAAAAATTGGCTAGTGGTATTGTTGTTAGATTTACTCAACCTTAAAAAGATTCATGCAAATATACGTCAGTATACACTTTGGTCTGTCGTCTAATTAACAAGTAATAATGGTAAAGTACCAGATATCGTTCCTTAGTGAAGCTTGTAAGAGTTTCTCAAAAGTCCAATCTTTAGAAACCAATTTCTGATGGACAATTCAAAGAAATATTTTTGGTGTGTGAGAGTTATCAACTCAGAAAGATCAGTCATAAAGAAGAAGCAAATGGTGCTAGGTTTGTTAAGACAAAATCAAATGATCCAGTATACAGATTTATAACAATTATGGATAGTTTAATAGTACCACAAAATAGTGTTATTGTATTGTCATAAATATCTAACTATCAATTCAGACGATCTCCCAAGAATATACAAAAGCCCACTGCTATCAATACGACATCATTTATGTTAAATGTTGTGAATCCTAGCACGATATAGTGTTACCATTCTACACCATATGAGTGTAGCACTTGTCAGGTACTAAAACTATTTATAGTCTTCTGATATTATCTCAATATGATATTATCTCAATTGTCATATGTATTCTAACTCTAAAAGCTACTTCATACATAAAATCAATTATTAATTAACTAAATGTAATCTTCAATGAAATATTAATAACCTGAAATAAATAGTTTGGATAAAAATGCTATAATTGAGACAACTTTCCAATTTCACATTGGTTTCAATCTTAATTTTTCCTTACACCCTAAGCTATGACGTTTAGTGCATTATCGATCGGATTCTTCTTGCGAAAGATGTAAGGTTTGAAATATGAATAACGGAGATGGAAAATACAAAATATAAACTGCAAGTATGAAAGTCGAGAAATGAAAATTGTTCCTCAAGTTATTAAATTCTTAAGTAAATTGCTTGGAAATGTAAATGACGAAAAGTAAATTGCATAAAGTAAAGTACTGGAAAGTAAATGACTGACATGTAATACGGAAATGTAAAGCTTAAAGCAGTAAATTAAAGTAAAGAAGTGAAGAACGATGTTGTAGAGTGTTGTAGGATTTAGTAACTTGCGCGAGAAATTCTGTTTAAAAACTTGAATACTTGCAACAAACACTTACAAAACACAAAGGAATGAACCATAGTTAAGCAATTTGGACTTAAAGCCCAATTAACATAAATGTCCAAAAAAATGCCCAAATTCTATTTCTAACTCCATACACAATAAAAGTGAAAAATAATATAACAAACCAAAGGGCCTTTGGTCTAGTTAGCGGTATCGTAGTTTTTGGCTTCCTAGGAAGTCAGGGGTTCAAACCTACCAAAAATGAGGAGGGTGTGTGAGTTTATTTGTTGTATTTGTCCGTATATAAATATTAATACTTCAAAAAAATATATAACAAAAGACTCAAATATTGGATTTTGGAAAAATAAAAGTAAGGAGAAAAGATGGATGAAGTGATACAATAGTCATAAATAGACATTCATCATGTACCCTAATTATCATTAGAACCCAACCTCCTAGGAGGTTGAGGGTTCAAACGTCACCAAAGATGAGAAGTATGTGTGAGTGTTTTCTATGGATAAATATTATATACTTCAAAGAAAAAAAATGTCATAATTCTTGATGGGTTTGGATGATGTGGGGTACATAATAGTCTATCTCGTACTATTTGCACTGAATCATTACCCAACATAAACAAGGTTTTCTCGTTGATATACCAAGAGGACGTATTTGAAGCATTTCATGCGAGAATGAGGGGTGTCAGAGACGATGAGCGGTGTGCTTTAGGCCAATATAAGAGGTAGGAGGTTTGGAATCAAATGAAAGGATAAAGTTGCAAAGTATTTGAATCGCAATCGTAGTCGGCATAATGCTAAAACTGTTTTCAGCTCAATCGAATAAGATGGCAGGATAAGTTGTCCAAAGGAACAAGATATGAGGATTATAATTTCCAAACGAGGGTGTGGTTGCACTTATGCCTAAAGTTGTCATACCGCTTAAAAAATTGCTTCTTGATGGGCAACAGCTACAAGGAGATTGTGCAACACGTAAACTAACGAGTAACAAGAATCAAACGATATTCCTTAACCTGATATATTTTACGACAAAAAGTTATATGGTAAAAACTTGTAACAATAGGTTTGCTTGTCTGCTACCTAAACATATGATGACATACAATACAAGTATTCATCTCGACATACCAACATTGACTTAACTTGAAGTCTTAAACTGAAATACTCGACATTACACCCTACAATATATGCGACTTTTTACGAGACTTCACAAGTCATTTTTAATCTCCCCTAACTGAAGGACTCCTCTTCGAGTCACTTACCACACCACCAGCTTCTTAGCCAGGTATACCTTCTTACGTGATGCCTCATGTCGCTTACCATGCCTCATATCATTCACAACTTCCTCTATGCTACTTCACAAGTCATGAAAACTAACTCTCCCGTGGACACCATCTTAACGACTTTTTCTAGCTATTCCCCCATGCGTTCCAGGTTGCATACACCGTACTGAGATGACCAATGCAATGCTTGGCCTATTCTATGCCTTTCTAGGCCACCATTGTTCTTTATTATTTTGCATTGCAAGTTATATGCATATCCTATTCTTTCATACTTAACAGAATTTAACCAACATTTCATGCATTAAATCAAAACATATATAATATGACTCGTACACAGTTACATAAATGACATTTTCTACTCAAAATTGCTAGTCTAAGGCCTCGTTCTATAAACATTCAAATTTGGAACTAATACTTTTCTACGATTGTTAGTTAAAATTATTACTTCTCGTGAAATCAATACAAATGCAAAGTTAATTTGTTTTGCTTAACAAGGTAAACTGCAAAAATGAGTTTAGATTCATGTTCAGGTTTTTAACATATCGTGTTTGAGGTTTCTTAATTTTTTTAAAGATCAGTCGATATGTCTTCATCATGGGCAGTTTAGTATTTGGATGTGACTGGACTGGACATGACATGATGTTACGGGTCAGGATGAAAGAATTTTGTAAGCTCTAAAGAGTTTTAATTTAACATAGTACATCCATGATTTGTTAATTCGTCTCGTTTTTATGATTTTTGTTCTATCTATTTTGATAGGATAGAAAAATACATTTTTATTTCATTATGATACCATCATATTATAATCTAATATCACATCGAACATGAAATAACAAGCAAACTATGATAAAAATAAAGTTTAGGGGTTGTTTGTTTACCTCTTAATAGTTTCATTAAGAGGCGGCCTCTGAATCGTTAATAGATGAATCTTGTTTGACAAAAAAAAGTCTGTCTCTTAATGGTTTTAAATCCTCCGAATGATTTTGTATCTTGGGTCTCCCTTAACTATTCAGCGCTCTAACTTCATTATAAATAATTACCAAACAATTATATTTCATTTTACACTATATCATAAAAATCTCTTAATTATTATGACCCTTTAATCATTTGACAACTGCCAAATAACACCCTTGGTTTTTCCAAAGGGGGTGAGTGGTTGGATCGGAGCCTAAAGAATGCAAGCATCACACGGACTCCACCTCAGACACCTTCAAACGAATCCAGCATAACCCATTCTCCACTCCTCTGTTCGGCAAAATCTAGGGTTTGATAATTTATTTTATATTTCCCCAATTAAATATCATCATCTTCTTCCCAATCCGTTCCCAAATTTTGTTCAACTTTTGATTCGATTATGAGAACTCGAAACGCTGACAATCCCAAATCGCCTCCTCCGGTGAAAAGAACCCCACCGGCCAGGAAGTCGGCAACTAAAACCCCTCTACCGCTACTGGATGCCTCCCAACAATCACCATCTGATTCCACGATTACGCCTAAGCGTGCTTCTTCCACCAGAGGGAAAGCTGTGGCAACAAACGATGCCACCGCAACAACTCCAGAAACACCAGGTATAGCTAGTCAAATCTCAAACCTAGTTTCTGTTTACCCTAGTATTTTGTTTTCTTCATGTTCATAGTCTCAATGAACGATCGAGATGAAAGATGTAGTCGTCATCGTGATCATCAAGTTTTTAAGAATACCCTGTGTGAGTTAACTAATATCACTTTTGTTCTTTCCCCTGGCATTCCGTTTTTCAAACCCATGAAAGATTCATGGCGATCGTTAAGGTAGTCCTTATGTTGAACAGTATTTCCTCTATTTTACATTAATTTCAAACAAAAGCGAAGGAAATATTTTTATTAAACAATAAGCTGGTTAGTTGCTTTGATATTCAAACTTGTGATGCCATTCAATTACTAGGGGTCGTAATTATCTGTTCCTATATAGTGGTTGCCTACTTGTTGATGTAAGTTTTAAGTTCATGTGATGTTACATGCAGTTGAAGCATTAAAGGTACAGGATGACACAGTCAAGGTAACTCCTGGGAAAAAACCTGGAACTAAAAGGACTGTGAAAAGAGTGGTTAAAAGGACTGTTATCAGGAAAAAGGCTCCAGCTTCTGCTAAATCGGATGATGCCAAGACACAGCCTGCTTCAGTTGCAGTTGAAAAGGATGATACTGAAGTACCTGTGGAAAAGGAAGTCATTGACGAGGTAAAGGATGTGGCATATGCGAAGCAGGAAGAGTTGAGCCCAAGCGATGTTAAAAAATCTGTTGAGAAGGAAGAACATGTTGATGATACTGGTGTGTCCCAAAAGGGTGATAAGGATGTTGCAGAAGCTGAAGATAATATGAAGGATGTGGATGAGAGCAATGATGTTCAGCCCTCTATTGAAAATTTGGAAAGTAGTTTGAGGCAGGAAAGTTCTGATATCACAGATGTTGAAAAATCTCTAGAGCATCAGGAACCAGAATTAGATGAAATAGAAAACATGGAAACAGAAGAGAAAGCGCCAGAAGTTCAGGAACCCAGCTTGGAGAAGGAGGAAGTGGATGAGAAGGAAAATAAGGAAACAGATGATGATAACTCCTTAGAGATCCAGGAACCAGGCATAGAAGTTGGAAAAAAGGAAGAGAAGGAAAAAGAGGAACCTGATGTTAAGGAACTTGTCCAGAATCAGGAAATCACCATGGGAGTAGGGCTGGAGGATGAGCCAGTTGACACGGAACAGGTGCCAACAGAAATTGACGAGGATAAAGTAGAGTTGGAGGATGAGCCGGTTGACATGGAGAAAAATATCAATGAGGAACCTAAGGGAGAAGAAGATCCACAAGAGCGTGTATGTCTAAGCGATGAGGAAAAGGACAAGGACATTGGCACTGATGCTCATGAAGAAGATGATGAAGACGAGCTTGCAGATGAAAAGGTGGCAGAACATGGTGAAGTAGAGTTGGAAGAGGATCATGCAGAATTTACAGCAGCTGCAGAGGAGCGGAGGAGAAGGAAAGAATTCGAGATATTTGTTGGTGGATTGGATCGAGATGCTACAGAAGAAGATGTAAAGAAAGCTTTTGCAAATGTTGGGGAGGTTGTTGAAGTCCGAATGCATAAGGAACTTCCAACTAATAAAAACAAGGGATATGCATTTGTGAGATTTGCTCAGAAGGAGCATGTAGCCCGTGCCTTGTCGGAAATGAAAAATCCTGTTGTATGTTTCTTTCTCAATACATTACTTCTCTGTTTGAGGTAAATCGTACTTGTAAAATGCTTATAAAAAATTGTTGGCACTTGGCAGATACACGGGAAGCGATGTGGAACTGCACCAAGTGAGGACAATGATACTTTGTTCTTGGGAAATATATGCAATACATGGACAAAGGAAGCTGTAAGGGCATCTCTGATTTCTTTTTGATTTATTTTTTTTCATGTAGGGCACTTCCTAATAGTCAATATGGTGGCAGATAAGACAAAAACTAAAGGATTATGGCATTGAAGGTGTTGAAAGGATCACACTTGTTGCTGATCCACAACATGAAGGGTTGAGTCGTGGTTTTGCATTCCTTGAGTTTTCGGGTCACCCTGATGCTATGCTTGCCTATAAAAGGCTTCAAAAGCCTGATGCTATTTTCGGCCACCCTGAGAGAACTGCCAAAGTAGCTTTTGCAGAACCATTGCGTGAGCCAGACCCAGAGGTTTTGGCACAGGTTAAGTCTGTGTTTGTTGATGGGCTCCCACCTCATTGGGATGAAGACACTGTTAGGGAGCACTTAAAAGGCTATGGCAGTATTGAGCGTATCATGCTGGCACGGAACATGTCAACTGCCAAGAGGAAGGATTTTGGATTTATTGATTTCACTACTCATGAAGCTGCTGTTGCTTGCATTGATGGAATAAACAGAAGAGAACTGGGTGATGAGAAGGTAAGGGCACATTCTTTTATCAAAAATTCACTATTTTTTGTGTAGCATGTTAAAAAATTATTAATTTATATACTCATTGATTTTAACTGATCTTAAATTACAAAGTGGCGAAAAATGTTGGTTGTTCTTTTTCACTGATGAAAAAGAAATGCTGGGTCCTCATTTTTGTGGATATTAGAAGTCTTTGGATAAATGGAAATTTAATATTTAATAAAATGGCAAAGACTTTAGATGAAGGAAGGCGAGACAATAAAAGAGAAGTGGGAGAAAAGTGTGTAATTGAAACGTATTATTTGATTCATTCTAGTTTGAAATGCCTTGAGCTATACCAAGTAGTATCGTATTCAATTTTCAATCCTAGATTATTTTACATATTTATAATACTTATAATTGATTCAATTGTATAACCGAAGTATAACTTTCAGAATGACATTAATGGTGCAATTCGGTAGAAATGCTATTTTGAAGATTAGGGTGTTTCAACAAAGTTCTTGGGGGGCGGAAGGAAGAATTGGAAATTGAAAATATATAATGTTATAGTAATAATTCATAACCATGTTTTATCAGCATTGAGCTAACAAATTATACATGTTGCTAGATGAAAGTGAGAGCAAGACTTTCGAATCCTTTGCCTAAAACTCAGGCTGTGAAAGGTGGAATATCGGGAGGATTTCGAATTGGTCAGGGCAGTGGTGCTACCTTTCCAAGAGCTGGTATATAATGGTGAAATATTTCAACGTTCACAGCTTCGTTATATAATGTCATTTATTTTGGCATACAGGGAGGGGCTTTGTAAGAGGTGAACATCCTTCCAACCGTATGAACTTTCAACGAGGCAGGGGTTTCTATCAACATGGACATGGTCAAACCAGTAGAATGGGTTTTGCAGAGGACTACCCACCTCCTGGTCCTCAACCCCCTTTCAGAGGGAGACAGAATTTTGGACGAGGTTTTTGACTGCTTTTGAATATTCATCATCGAGTTCTTTTCTTTACCTTCATTTTCAATTGAACTGCATTTAGCATGACAAGAAGCTATATATTGGTTGGTCCTGCAGGAGGGAGGTGGGATAATTTTAGGGGTCCCCACCCGCCATCTGGTCAAGGTACTGTGCCAGCAAGATTTGATCTTGATAGGCCCAGGCATGGTGCTATAATGGATCGTGATCATCCTATGCCAATGAGAGGACAATCATTTTTGCCTGATGAAGAGTTTACCAGACCTTATGGTGGCAGGCACTATGAAGACTCGTACATTTATGGAGATACTGCACGTGGAGTAAAACGTCCATATTTTGCTGTAAAGTTCACTGTCTTGAATTTGTTTTTACATTTTCTGTTGTGGGAAAAGAAATGAGAGTGGATATCATTCCATGCTTGACTGGATTTGGTTTGATTGAAATATTCTTTTTGGCTTTTAGAACCAGGATCCTGACTACATTGAGCCTAGCAGAGGTCGGCCTCGTTTGGATTACTCTGACCCAGCAATTTCAGTTCCTGGATCTCGCTTACGAGGTTTTGGGTTTAGTCTATAAGCACTTATGTGAAGCTTGATTCTTGCCCAATTTATTATCTCTTAATTCACTCAACTGTTTATATCTTTCTGATATTCTAGGAGGTGGCAGTGGTGTTCATTCACGTGACTACTATAATTATGACGTGAGTAATGTTTTTTCTTTCATGTTTGTGTATCTGATCAATATTTAATATCATTTACCACTTTGATCTCCAATCTTCTATTATTTGCAGTATAATGGTTCATATTCATCTTACTATGGCGGTGATCGGCCCTATGGCGGTGATCGGCCCTATGGCGGTGATAGGCCCTATGGCGGTGATAGGCCCTATGGTGGTGATAGGCCCTATGGCAGTGATCGCCCTTATGGCGGGCGATATTATTATTAGACTAGGCAACTACTGGTAAATCAAGCGCTTTGCATCTCTTACCTGTCTACTTTTTCAAAGTTGATATCTGTGTTTAACGTTGAACTTTTGGTACCGAATTGTGTTCAGGTGGACACTTGGAGACAGAATGTGATGTGCTGGTCTGGAGTGTTCGTATCTGCTTGCGGCCGCTCTATAGGAAAGCCATCTTTTTTATATTCCTCTCTTAGACTGTCCTTTCCTCTGAGGTTCTTTCTTCGCTCCATGGCTTTTCCTCTCAGATCTCAGTCCGGATTGTTTTTGGTTGAACATACATGTTGGGCTAATCTTTAGATTGTCCCTTCCTATAGGACAAGATATGTCAGTATTTTACATGGAAGGAGTTTAGTCTAAGATGCTAATTCATCGAACTATGTCTAGGTACCATAAGGGCTTAAATTTCGGACTGGAGGTTATCTAAGATGTAAGGCATCTCTTTTATATGATCATTGTCTTGGATTCAGCATATATATCAACCCTTTATATCCTGAAGTTTAAGGAAACCGATTAGACGCTTATGTTTTGTAAGTGTAAGGTTTGAGATCTAAGGTTTTTCACTTAGCGATTCAAGGGAATTGATGTAATGTAGAATTTAAGCCCTCTAGAGGTTCTATTGATGATTCTTGTGAAGACGTGTTTTAGATTTTACATGTTGCTTGTGTGCCACATGGAGTTTGATCAGATTAAAGGAAAATATACTAAGATATGTTTCTAAATCTCTGATGGATTGTGGATGTAATATTTTGGAAGTAATTTTGAGGGTACTTTCGATGATGTTGGGTTATGGACATTAAAAGCATCCATGACTTGGGTTTAATGACCCATGTCTAGTATATGTCGGAGGCATATATGTACCTTGTTATCTCATTATATGAATATTTTGGTGGTTTATCATGGTTGCTTTATGGTGATTCTTCAAATCTAACATTTGCTATCTGATAATCCTGGCAAGGCCAAGTGGATGTGATATTGTTTGTATAAAGAAGAGAATGTGGTCAGCCTTCACTAATCCAGTTTATGTGTTTCCCTATCCTTCATCAATCAGGTGGCATTGATAGCATGTATTACTGGCACTTATATTCAGTTATCTAGGAGAAGACTGCCCAGCTTTTGTTATTATAAGCAAGGCATCTGTTATTGGTTTGTGCCCAATGGATGGTCATTAGTTAAGCTTGTCAAATTGATGGTTGAAAAGAACTGCTATATACATAAAGTTAGCTCTCCCAGTCTGCATTTTCTGTTTTGAACTCTATGCCAGGTTAATGAAAATAACCATATTTTGATAATGGGTGTTTAACAGTTTTTTGTTATTGAGGGCTTCCTTTTTACGAAGGTTTCTGGCATTTTGGCTGACATCTTTAACAATTAGATAAGCGGCTTAGGATTGATCTTTGCTAGTTGAATTTTGGAATTATCACAACAAACTAGCCCAAACGGTGTCAATAAATAGATATAGTGAAGAGTGCTCCAAAAGGCAAACGGCCTTGATGCTTGTGTGTAGACTGTATCTAATTGATAGATGAGAATTAAATACCTGATTAGAGGTTACAGATTTACAATTTTGACTTGTGTGTAGTCTTGTCCTCTTAGGAATTGATTGTAATCCATGTAATCTGAAGTTTCTGGTTATCATTGATGTGCATTATTGGGTATATAGTTGAAACTTAACTTTATAGTTATTTATATGGTATGTGTACTGGTAGGCATTACAGGTTAGTTTGATGAGGTTTGCTAACATACTACCTCATATAGCATAGAAAGTGATGGTTTGGTGGTTGTTTCATGTTCCAAAGACAGCAAACTGGTTCAATAGTTTTCGCTAAAATCCTGCACCTAGTATTTGTTGTATCATCTTGTGGCAGTTTCCATTGCTGAATGGTTAGGGGAAAATGAGTGATGGAAGTGGGTCCCGTTAATTATTCCGTATAACCTGTAGGCCTGTGGCTTCTTTTGCATTCACTATCTATGTTCCATGGAAGTGCATCAGGACTTGAGGGTGATTGGAATAGTAGGTTGTTTAAACTTTGCTCTCTTTTTAGTTCGGGGTAGAGGTCAGGTCTTCCTATATCTTCCCCTGGCTCAACTTAAAAGGGGTTGTTTGTTTTGGTTTTATGTAATTGCCCATGGCTCCAAAATAGTGTAATTATAGGTGTCTGCTTTCATGAAGGTTGTTCTTTAAGTTGTTATTTCTTTTGGACCCTGCTATGCAACTGAGAATAATCAAATATCTGTATACATGCATTTGATAGGCAATACCATCTGGATTTGTTGGTTACTTCATATATTTTGGATGTGTTATGCTCATTCATCCTTATCTTAAGCATTGATTGTACCATACGTGCTTTTGTTACACCTGTGTATGTATGTATGGATGCATTTTGTTTACATGTTCCTGTTAGCACAAGTACTTTTAAACCAGCCATGGATTCTTGCATCTCTGGTGTAGGTGATATATATCGGTATGCGGGTAAAAGTGTGAATGTGTGAATATTTTCCGGGTTTGTTTGTTGTTGCTCTACACCTTTTTGAGTAGATTTTTTGTTGGACAAATTCAAGTACAGTTTGTACAATTATTGATGAGGCTGTATCAACCGGAAAGTTTTAAAATCATTGAAGGACTATCGATGCAAACATATAAACCTGAGTGATGAAATTATCGATCAGCTATATATATGTTGAGGTCTCTTGATAGTTCTGAGCTCTAATCTAGCAAAAGTACCGTGCATTTATTTAATTGTTAAAACAAACAAAAATGGCCACTGAAGCATACTGAAACTTTACCAATTGTCATTACGAAAAGGAATATTGTGCCGTTCCAAGCTGCTGGTATGCTTTCTATCTCTATGTTAAGTGTTTTTGTTTATTTATTTTCTGGGTTTTCGATGCCTTCTCTCTTCTTCTCCGCTTGTAGTTCTATCCCACAAACACAGATACAACATTACTCGGATGCCCATAAACCGTTAATGGGGTTGAGATCTCCATTGATGGGTTCTCTATAACTTAATGGTGCTGTTTAATCGAAAATGAAATAGAGCCATGTAGAAGCCAAAATCAAGGGAATTAAAGTTTGCTATGACAATGTAGAAGATGCAATGGTTTTTGGTTTTTGGCCGGTCAAAATGGAGAAGATGCAATGGTGGAGACCCGAGAAAAGGAGAGGGGTGGTCGGAGAAAAGATGTCAATGGATAGGGTTTTAGTATACTTCAGGGACGAATAAAAGCTTTTGCCTATCATGGCCCACGTTATGCAATGCATCGTGTTATGAAGACGATAACTTGAAGTCTCAATATATCGATCTTCTTTTGTGGTTTTGTTGGTTTTTAATCAATTTATAGAGTATTTTGTCATATTTAATTGTGTTTATAAATTGTTTGTTAGTTAATTTTGTGGAGTCCAAACATAAAATTTGATGAAGTGGTATATTTAGAGTAGTAAGTTGCTGTAAACTTGAGTTTTAAATGATTTTAAGAATATGAGAAAAATGGTTTAATGTGATAAAAGATGTTAATATGTATATGTAGCATATGAATATATTCGTTATCGAGAAAATTTGAAAACCAACTTAAAAATTTATTGGTATGGGTATGAAATAAAAAAGTAAAATACATATATTTTAATATTTTTGTTCAATTAAAAGAAGTGTTAGATTTAAGATAAGATGATTCAGACCTAAAAAAGAAAGTAAATTTAGGTGGTGTTTGATTCGTAGAATGTTATTGGATGAAGTGGAACTTGTTAAAAAAATTGACTTTGAAGAAATTGGAGTGAAATATTATCAGGTTTGACCATTTGTTTAATTAACAGACATTGGAATGAAATCTGTTAAGAAAATGGAATGTGTCTGTTCGGTTTACATAATGTAGTTTTGGAATTGTAAATGACCAAAATGTTCTTTTTTGAAAATCTTATTTTTTTTTAAACTAAAAATACTTTATAAAATAATTATTTAATGTGTAAAATAATATGAAATACATAACCCAAGTATAGTCATAAATCAAACGACGTTACTGAACTGATATTAAAATTGTCTCCAAATAGCTAATTCTTTATTATGTAAAATAACTAATTCTGTGGTGGTCGACGTGGTCAGCGGTGGTTCAAAATAGTGGTGGTCGACGGTGGTTCAGATCATGGTGGTCCACGGTGGTTCAGATCGATCGTGGTCCATGGTGGTTCAGATGACGGTGATCGGCAGTGGTTCAGATTGGTGGTGGTCCGCAGTGGTCAGCGATGGTTCAGATCGAAAGTGGTCCAGATCGACGGTGGTCGGCGGTGGTTTAGATTGGTGGTGGTCGGAAGTGGTTCAGATCGGTGGTGGTCTGTGGGGTTCAGATGGCTATGGTCGGACGTGGTTCAGATCGGTAGTGGTCGGCGGTGGTTTTGATCAATGGTGATCGACGGTGGCCGACGATGATTCATATCGGTGGTAGTCACCAATCGTCGGAGGTGGTTCAAATTGGTTGTTGTTTTCGGTGGTTCAGATGGCGGTGGTCAATAGTGGTTCATATCGGTTCCTATGTAAATGCAAAGTTTTCTAAAGGTTCTAATATAAATACGCCACTTTATTTAATACACAAAAAGTTTACGATAAATTAATTTATTCTCAAAGGGCTTTCCTTGTTTATATGGTTATCTACATACATCTTGTATTTATTTATATAAATATAGACTTAGACACATAGTTTAGCCACTAGGGGTGTAAATGATACGAGACAACTCGCGAGATACTCGAGATCGACTCGGTCAACACTCGACTCGAACAGGCTCTCGAACTCGAGCTCGAGCTCGACATATTAATGAGTCGAATCAAGCTACCCAATACTCGACTCGAAAAGCTCGCGAGATACTCGATTATTTTATATATAATTAGTTTTAAAATATAATCAGTTTTTGTGATAAAATTTGTAAAATATAAATAATAAAAAATTGTCTTATATTTTTAGATATTTAAACAAAATTATGTATTTTTTGATTATAAAAATTAATCAATTATCTTTTATTAAAATCACAATTAAAAAAAGACAAAGAAAAATTATAAAAGAGGTTAGTGAAATTGTCTCACATTGAAAGAGAGATGGTAAAGGAAGGGAGAAATATGTTATAACAAGAGAGGGAGGTGAATATAATTTTTTAACTTTGTCTTTTTGATAATTAAGTTTGAAGTTGATCTCTTTAAAAACTAAGAAAACACCTTTAAGTTTTTAAACTTATAAGAGCAAGACCTTAAAATTTTCATAAATTTCAATGAATGAGTTTGGTTCGAGCTTGATTCGAGTTCGAGTTTGATTTGAGTTACAGTTTGAGCTTGTTTCGAGCTTGATTCGAGTTCGAGGTTGAGAAATAGCTATCGAGTTTGAGTCGAGCTATGATTTTTACTACTCACGAGTTTTCGAGTCGAGTTCGAGCTTAGAAATTGGGTTTCGAGTTCGAGTTGAGTATATTGATACTCGAGCTTGACTCGCATCATTTACACCCTAGATGCCACTGCCACATACTCGACCTCGATGGTTGAGAAAGTTATCATTGGCTGCTTCTTCGATGACCATGCAACAACACTCTCTCGGAATAGAAAGGTGTATCTTGATCTACTCTTTCGATCATCAAGACCCCTTGCATAATCACTATTAGTGTATCAAATCAGAATTGCTTTTCCACCCTTCTTGTAAAACACTCCAAAGTTTAGAGTTCCTTTGATGTAACGCAAAACCCATTTTG